GCAATTGACTAAGAGATTATCTCTTGAATTATACAATTTCGAAATCAAGTGAATTTTTGTATAATATGAACCGGTTGTTATCGTAATTCTGACTGTATAAAAAATATCATCCTTTATGCATTTAAGCCAAATTTGGCAATAATGTTCTAATATAAAAACTACTATTCTAATTCCGGTTTTAAAGTAATCCACAAATAATGACTCAATTATCGAGTCAACTTATTATTTAGCAATATTAAATCTAAAAATATGTATAATATATAAAATATAAAGAATATATTAGTTTACAGCAATATATATGACATAAATATATATGCAGCATACAAATTTAATGATATAAGGGGCGTTATGTCCAATGCCAGTTTTTTATATATTACAATATTAAAAACCAGTTTTAAGTCGAGTCTATTTGCATGAATTTTAATTTTCCATTTTAAAGTAAAATATATTTACTGATTTATATATTACATATGCTAAAAAAGTTACAAATAAACCAATAACAACAGGTTCATCTCTTTAGTTATATCAGTAAAAAAATCGGATATTTATTTGTGCTTTATATATAGCATCACATGAAATTACTTTCTACTGTATATGTATTTATAAAATGCAATTGCATAACAATTGCACCTATTTAAAGGATAATTTTTATCCAAATAGACAACAATTGACGATTATGCCTCGAGAATCAAAAGTAAGAAATTTTCTTCGAAGTGACGGACTTAATTCTGAAAGGGCCACCATCGAATTCCTAAGCAATCATGTGAAATATCTCGAACGTAAAGCCAGAAAAAAATTTAAAGATTCTAAACTCGAAAAAGATGCAATACTCAATAGGATCGAAATTTTAAATAAAGAAATCGAAAATCTGCGAAAAGAAAAAGACATTCTTACTGTATCTTTAAGAATCGTAAAAGATATTATGAAACAATTCAAGGATCCAAAAACAGAGGAATTGCTTCGACATATACAAGTTGAGATGAAAAAATCTTTACGGAATGCACAAAGTCCTAAACCAGGTGAAGTAAATTTTGGAATAATATGTAATGTTATATTCATAATATTAATTTTTTTTGAAATTGAAATAGAATCGAGTTCGGAAGTGCTTGAAATTTTTGACGTGGATATGCAAGAAGTTGAAACAAAGAAGACCTGGAATAATATTCTAGATAATACTGATGTTTTATTAGCAATTATGTCATATCTATCACCAAAGGATCTTTTCTATTTCATGCAAGTCCAGAAATATTTGTACTATTTACTTAAGTCGAATGATGATGATTCTCAAAGTATCTGGAGAGTTTCACGACAACTATATTTTCACCAAAATTTTAAATGTCCAATTCAATTATCAGAACAAGACTATTGTTTTCTAAAGTTTATTATTACTAGATGCCAATTTTGTAAGAATTTTTTCAGTGATCCGGTGCTTATTATTGAGTTGAAAATAAAGATATGTCGACAATGTATTAATCAAGCGTTAATAAGGCAAGTTAGGAAAATTTTTTTATTAATATTTACTTCGATTATAGTATTTAATTTTTCATTCTATTTAGTCGTTTGGAACTTGTAAACGATCAATACTTTCCTTCAGAATTATTACCAGCGATTTATTCAGTAGATATTGAACAGCTTCAAGGAAGGTATATGGATTTCACGATACGGGACCATCATGCCGCATCTCACATGGTATTTTTCTTTAAAAACGACGTAAATATTACTTA